TGACCATCCCAACCGGTTTTCTGTATCTAAATTTGATTTTTAAATTTGTTTTATTTCTTTATAGTCCACTTATCAGTGAAATCATATGGGTTTTCTCTGTTTGCCATTTCTCTTTAGCATCAAACCCTCAAGATCCATCCAAATTGTGATAGATGGCAAAATTTCGTTCTTTTTCATGACCAAGTAGTATTCCATTATATGCACATACCACATTTGCTTTGCCTGTTCATCTCTTGGTCAACATTGAGGTTATTTCCCTGTCTTGGCTATTGTAAATAATGCTGCTGTGAGCACAGAGATAAATATATATGTTCATCTTAGTGTTTTTGTATTCTTTGGATAAATACCCACAAGTGGAATAGATGGATGTTATAGTAGTTGTATTCTTGAAAACAGTTTATTAAAGTAAGAAAAGTTTAATTGTAGATGAGGGAAAATGGCTTTTTAGGATCTTATGACTTGAGCTGCTAATTTTTAAAAAGTGAAGTAAAAATCTGTTCTTCATAGGTTGCTCTGAAGAAGTGTTTGTAAAAGTATTCTAGAAAACATACATCATGATGTAGCCCAGTCATGAATGATTTACTGATAGTCTGACTCTATTTTATGATTTCTAAGAGAAAAATAGTAAAGAAAGCATTCACGTTTAACAACAGAATTTAAAAGGATTGATTTTAAAAGAATAACTTAAAAATGTGCATTGATACATGAATTTTCTCTTTAAGGAACTTGATAATTAAACAATTTCTTTTTATCAAGAGTAAGTAATGCATTTTAAAACAGCACAGCAAGTTGGACATTTATAGTTTGTGTGATGGACACAGAAGTGAACTTTGTACTAGACTTAATTATTTTCTGTCAAGATGGCTAAAAGTAGTCCCAAAACACCAGGAATGTTAATGTAGCGTTTAACTTGAGAGAAATATTTCCCAAGGAGAATCCTTGATGATGCGTTTATCAGTCAATGTTGTCTTTCATAATTTGTTAAAACCTCAGCAAAGCACTTGCCCAGAGTGAATAATTTCCTTCGATATTTTGGCAAATCCATGTTTTCCCTTCCAAACAGTGTCAGGCAAGAGTGTGAGCGCTTTAAGTAATGTTTTATTTTCGAAATTATTACTTCAGCTTATTTGTATCAGATCATTTCTCTAGGCATTCTACTCAATTACTTTTTCCTACTAGTTTCCCTCTGGCCTTCCTTGTATCCGAGATGGGCAGAGTGGGAGAGGCAGAGGGGGAGCGGCCGTGGAGGAGCAGGGCTGAGAAGACATGAGCTGGGGCCAGTGGTGATGGCCGTCAGGCTTGTCCGAGCGACGCCATCAGTGCCAGCGAGGGGAAGTGACCGTCGAGGCTGGTGGCCAGGGCTTCCTGGAGGACAATTTTAGAGCTGCTTGCAGTGTAAGCAGACAATCCATTTAGAGACGTGTATTTGATCTTAACAGCCAGTGGGGGTTTTTGACTCTCTCAGCTTATATCAGAGCATTTTATTATTACTTTTTAAGATTGATTTATCTATGCACACAGAACTGGGCACAGGCCAGAGGTACAGGGGATGAGAGGACTCCCCAGAGACAGAGCGGGGAGCAGAACAGGCAGATCACCAAAGTACACTGCTGAGGGAAGCAGCGGGCGGGTCAGGAGAGATCTGCCACGCCATGTGGTCTCCTCCCGGGTGGGGATCAAACTCATGCTGAAGCGGCTTAGCTTCTCAGTGCTGTGCTTTAACTTGCTGCGCCACCAGGGAGGGCCCAGAGCATTTTATTTTTAAAATTTTTCTATTTTTAAAATATATTCATTGCATCAGCCTTCGTTTTTGTAGTATGTGGTTTCTCTGTGAAATCCCTACCACCCATCTTTGGGCGCCATCACCAAGGTCCCTCCGCTCTTCCCACCCTGCTCTGTTTCTTCTCCCGCCTCAGAGCATTTTAATATAAAAGTCTGAAAATATGGTCCCCAGTTAGTATGGCTGCTGCCCTGGAAAGATGCAGCGTGCTTACTTTGTGACCTCCCCCCTCGTCCCCGCGCACAGCAGAGAATTCTCAAAGAGGAAGGTGGAAGAGTTTGAAGGATTTTATTTTCATTCTGCACTGTGCAACGGACTGGCTGTTGGACAGACACTCACTGACTGTGTAGTGGTAGAAGTGTTGACAATACAAATGTGGCCCCTTTTTTGACAAGCCAGACAAGTGTGTGCTGGGTAGATGGAGCTTGGGTGGTAGATGGAAATTGGGTGCCAATTTTTAATGGGGGGCGGTGGGGTGGGAAGAAACAGAGCAAGGACTTCTTTGGAGATGAAACTTTCAGTCCTGCTCACACACGTGTCGGGGGGTCACCAGCTGGAGTCTGCGCAGGCTCGGATGAGCGCTGATGAGCATTCATAGGGTATCATGGGTGAACCGTCACTCACATTACTGAGTCCGTCGTGCTGCTTGGCTCCTGTTCTTGCAGTGTTTGTGCGTTGACTCATTTTCCTCCGTAGAACTGTGTGGCCAACCTGCTACCCTTCTGACGGGGTACAGGGAGGTTTTAAACCACGTGCACATCGTTTGGCGTTGTGGCTGAAAACCTGTTTCAGAGCTTCCATTCTGGCTACTGCTGCAATGAATTAAGATGCCGAGTATTTCCAGTGGTGCGGGGAATGCAGTATCGAACTTGCTGCTGCCAGTGCACCCTTGTATTAATTGTATTAATTTGTGGGTCCTGCTTCCATGCCCATGCAAACGAAAACCCTCATATTATGTTCCTTCAGCTGGGAAGGAGATGATATGCGTATGACAAGGAGACTTGCCTTGTCTCCGTCCCTTTGTATTTTCAAGTTCTCAGTCACCTAAGGTTCACCACCGAGTGCTTGGGTGAGCAGATGTGTGGGAGCCAAGTGCTTTTTTAGCTTCTCTGAGCTCTCTCTGTTCAGAGGAGCCCCGCTGTTGTTACAGTTCTTTTTTCAAGGAATGTTTCTAGGGAAGCTCGTAAGTGACGCAGTACACAGATGAATTAACTGTTTTCATTTACAGCTAGACTGTCAGGCGATGCTAATGCTTACATTTCCTTGCTGTTCTTATGAGACACCGTTGAAACCAGGAAATAGTAAATATGAAATAAAGACTGAATGTCTTAATTGGCCAAATGACTTGCCTTCTATAATGACTTGTGAGTTTTCTTTTCTTCTTCTTCTTCTTTTTTTTTTTTTTGTGAATGTTACAATGACCTTAGGCCATCTGGAACGACAGCCAGACCCCTCATCAAACACAGGTTTTTGCCGTGAGCCCCTGCTCAGGAGTTTCTGGTGACAATCAGCCGTTCACATTTGAAACTTAATTTATTCATGGCTTGGAACTAGGGGGAAAAACAGCCAAAAGGCTCTGTGCCATTTGTGTACAACGTTGAAGTTAGTGATAAGATTCCTACAACCACTTACCCTCGATGAATTTGTGTTTAAGTGTTAGGATGTCCTGAACGAACTCTGTAGATAGAGGTTTTGTGGACTCCACCACCTACTCCAGTGATTGAAACTACAGCTCCCAGCAATACCAGAGGGAGGACTGTGAGGACCCAAGGGTGGAGCTAAGCAACCATTTTGGGATCTATCTATTGCTCTATCTGTCTGTCTGTCTATCTATCTGTCTGTCTGTCTGTCTATCTACCTGTCTGTCTGTCTATATGAGGGAGCCATGTTGAGTTCTGGCTCTCTCCCTTGGCCTTGTGGTTGGTGGCTGGTCGCTTGGCTCTCGATGATCTTTCCATGTGCTATTGGGGTTTGAAGTCAGTGGAACTGGCAGGATGCTCTAGCTAACTTCTCTCTCTCTCTCTTTCCCTGGGTTATTCCTTTTCCTTTCCCCTTTGTAAATAAGCCCATTATTGACCCTTTTGTGTGCACCTGCAGTGCAGTTGAATCTTAAGTGTAGGGGAGGCCCCACAGACAGGCACCCAGTTCACGTCGGGCTGCCGTGTAACACAGGCAGTGGTGGTTGGAAAGGCAGCAGCCAGATGACAAATCCTTGGCGTCTGGACACTGGACTGTGCTGGGCACCCACCCCATTCTATTCTCAGGCCCAGCAGTTAACTCTCTCTTGGCAGCTTTTGTCTTGCCTTTCCTGATCTCATCAAATATTTAAAAACAAAGCCCAAAGGGGGAAGAATGAGCGTCCTCTCTTGCCAGATGACAGGATGCCCCCCCAGACCCCCTTTGCCCCTCTCTGCTTGTGTTGGTGTGTGAGCTATTCCCAGACTGTTCATTGGGGACTGGAATGTGCACTTGGGAGTCTGTGTCTTTCTGGGAAAAGAGGTGGGGGCTGTATGCTGCTCACACACCTCCATACATCTTCCCTTTCGTCAGCCCCGTAACACAGAGGAACACTTAACTGCCTCTTTCCACTTCCCTGAGTTTCTGGGTGCAGCAGTGGGGTGTTGACTCTCTGGCTCAGTAGTCTCTGGACACGGACGTCGGAGGAATCCCCACTGGGCTCCCAAGTGTTTCCCGTCAGCATCCATCCCCTTGAAGGTCCGTTAAACATGGGCTCTTGTCCATGCAGACTCAACATTCAGGCCGTGTTCTACTTGCAGCCATCCCAGGGACAAGTGGCCCATCTCACGCACTCACCAGCATGTGTGGGCGCCATGTTGGATTGTGGGTCCAGCCTGCTCATCCCTGCCAGCCCCTCCTGCACTGGCCCCTCACTGCTCCCTTGCTGCCTGACGTGAAAGCCCCCTGTTCAATCCTCCCTCATCTACGCACTCACCCTGCTCTGGGGATCTCGTTCACAGCAGCCTCCAGCTCCCTGAGGCCAGAACTCTCCCGCTGCCAGGGTTTCACTGCTTCTCGGTTGGTCCCAAATCAAATCTGTCCACCTACAGCCGACGTCTCTGCTTCCGTTCCTGCTGTTGCTGCTTTCCCAGCATCTAATGTTTCCTCTAACGTGATAAAGCGGCATGGGAGCAATCAGGCCGTGTAAGCAGAAAGCTGTGACTGCTAAGAGCCGAAGAGCCGAGGGTATCAGGGAGATTGAATGGCGCGTCTAGGAAATCCCAGCTTGTACGTCGAGGACGGGCACATGGTTCTTCCAGGCCGTGAGGTGTCCAGGTACGTCGAGGGCTCCATGAATGTTAAGGTGATTGCTGCTTTTATTCAAGGGCAGGACAAGCATTTTGGGGAGCAGGTGGAACGGTAGGGTTCTTCGATGGCCTCGCGCTGCTCCTGGATGCTAGAAGCTGACGCTGCTTTCACCTGTCCCCCTGTTTTTCACCCATCCCCCCGTTCTGGCCTAGGAGCTGCTCTCGCAGTGTTCAGGACCTCCTCGGCTCCCAGCTCCACCGCCTAGGGAATGGTGCTTTGCTTTCAGCAGGCATCTCCTCAGTGTGCTCGTCCCCTTTCAAGTCTCAGGCAAGATAATTAAATGAAGAAGTGATCTGGGACTTATTATCAGGTGATGCTAACAGCTGATCTCACCTGCTGCAGCCAGGCAGGAAGCAGCCGCAGACCCATGTGGATGGGCAGGGCGGCTTCTGGCGGCCGGAGTAGCCTCGTCACGGAGCTGTGTCCCTCAGACGCGGCTGGTGGCGGGGAAACAGGGGCGCGCATTGCCCCTTTCTATGTAAAACACGGGACTTGCTTCTGTATTTTAAAATTTCCTCCCTGAATTACCCCAGTCACAGCTGTTCAAGGGTGTTACTGCCATCGGGTTCGTTTCAGCGTGCCTTCCGGCCTCAGTTTCTCCACAGCTTCCACAGTCGACAGCACCTCATACCCATTCTGTTTTTATTTTTAAAACTGCCTTTGTCACTGGGGTGACATTGGTTTCCAAGGCGGAGCGGCATGTGGGGTCAGGCCTCTGTGGAGTCTGCCACACGGCCCCCCGCTGAAGGCCCTGTATCCTCCACAGTCTCCCATCGCCCCGCTCTGTCCCCCCACGCCTCACTCGGATAGCCTCAGTTTTCTTTCTTTCTTATTATTGTTAATGAGGAAGCGTCGGTCTCCAGCCTCGCTTGGTTTTTGCGAAGACAGGCTTCCCTACCCCCAGGTCTGGCAGCCTGGCCTCGCCACGGAGGCGACTCCCACTGAACGCTGATCTCCTGGGACAAGAAAGCCGTGCTCTGGGCTCTGTTTCCACCCAGCAGGGCGATGTTGTAGCTCACCGGGCATCTCGGCTGCGGAACGAACCTGCAGCGTGTGGGAAAAAGATAAGGGCGCCGGCGTGGGGACTCCGGCTCAGTGCTTGATCCCACTTCTGCAGAAGCTGCTTCAGCTCCCCGAGTGTTTCCTTTCCCCAAAGCCAGATCACGCCGTGAGATAAAGTTCTTGCCCTACTCTCCTCTGCGCTCCCTGAGAGATGGGTGCTGGCAGCAGCGCGGCAGCTGTGGGGGGCCGCAGGCGTGTCTGTGGGGTCACATAGTTCTCCTAAGCCAGAGAGCACTCTGGTGAGCCGCTCCAGTCCTTGGCTCTGGGGTGTAGGGAGTGCGGAACGGGGTCGGGGTGGGAGCCCACGCTGCGTGCCCTGTTGGGCTGCTCTGCCCCGTCCTGGGTCTCTCTGCCGGGGCTGCCACGAGGCCCAAGCCTCAGGGTCCCCAAAATAACACTTCCTGTTCTACTTCCTCCTCCACCTCCTCCTTCTGCCCTTACTTCCTCCTCCACTTCCTCCTTCTGCCCTTACTTCCACTTCCTCCTTCTGCCCTTACTTCCACTTCCTCCTTCTGCTCTTACTTCCTCTTCCACTTCCTCCTTCTGCTCTTACTTCCTCCCCCACTTCCTCCTTCTGCTCTTACTTCCTCC